ATAACCTTAAAGCTGCAGTCCGTAAGTTTTGCCTCTTTGTCGCCACCTCTGTTTGAAAACCTGGAATTGCAGCTGTGTGTGGAATTATTTAGCTTGCGTGGGTTGTGAGTCGGCACGGCTCCAGCGCGGATGAATCTAATGTTCTGAAGAGTATGTGTGGCAGTCAGTCACCGCACCAGTGTGGATATTTACTGTACTTCACAATCACAGATTCTAGCCTACATCTTGGAATATGACCCAAATAAGGCTTTTCACCATATATTGCCAAGTAACAAGTCTGCCACGTTTGTTCTGACCAACTGAGGAAAAAAACATTACCATAAACCCCGAAGCCTAGTAGCCGGGACAACTTCATTATGTTTACAGACGTGACGTAATGACGCAGTGCCATGCTCGAATTTCCCGCGAAAACCTACCCGTACCACTCAAATTAGAAAACATTATTATAAGATAACCGTTGTGAATCGGGCTAAAGTAAGGCGATAGATTTGAACACTGGCTGGTTATGTACTTGCTCAAATATTGATTTCGGATCATTTTTATCCAAAAAAAAGTTACGGACTGCAGCTTTAAATGCTCTGTAAGTAATTTTGGATAAAATCTGTCAAATGCATGAATGCACAAGTATGTATACTATCTTTGCTGTAGGGTGGATGGTATGACCAAAATCTCATATCATGGTATGAGTAATCTTATATAACAATATATTTTGTGATCTGCCAAATGTTATGACTTTTGCGTCAAAAATTGTATAAAAAATGCAAAATTACACTGATTTCCCAAATGTAAAAAATGGACACACTAAATTAAACATGCAACATAGTGTGGTCATGTAACAACAACATAGCGTTATTGTTACAAATTGTTTCACTTACCTATATTACTAAACCAACCAGTAGATAATGCACAGTATGCTAGTATTGCAATCCCAAGATAGTTAATGTACAGTATATGCAGGTTTATGTGAGTATGCATCCTTGATTTTCTAGGCTGCTGTAGAATGTGTCCTTCTTTATCCACTCTATTCACTATATCTGCAACACAATATCTCTGTCTGTGTATGTGTGTGTGTCCAGAGCTCCAGCGTGGACTCTCTACTTCTTGTGTTTTCAAGGCAAAGTGCTCTCGACTCATGTAAAATTCAGGCCTGTTCACTCCAGTGTTTCTACAGTGACCTGCTCCCTCTGACTTTAACACTTTCCTCATTTACCTTTTTTTCATTTCTATGTCCTTTTCTTCTTCCCTTTAACTTTGCATGCCACCGAAAAGTCTTAGGGGAGAAAAGTATGCAGGCTATGTTTGCAGTTGAATACTACTTACTCCATACTGCATACTGTGGGATCCAACAGTCTGAGGCCACATTGAAAATCCGGACCTTTCGTTTACACTTGGAAATCAAGAGAAAATTTTAGGATTTTGAAACAAAGAAGTTAAGAGTGGTGTCCAGTTATCATCTGGGAAATCAATAGTTATTTTTGCATTTTCAAACCAATTCTGAGTAAAACATCTTAACATTGGCAGTCAGATCAGATAATGAGTCATGAAAGGTCAAGTCAAGTGCATTGCATACTGCAAAATTTGCACACTGTGCACCCAAAAATGAAAATTTGCTGAAAATGTACTCACCCTCAGGTCATCAGAGATGTAGATGAGTTTGTTTCTTCATCAGATTTGGAGAAATGTAACATTCCATCACTTGCTCACCAGTCTCTGCAGTGAATGGGTGCCGTCAGAACGAGAGTCCAAACAGCTGATAAAAACATCACAATAATTCACAAATAACCCACACCACTCCAGTCCATCAGTTAATGTCTTGTAAAGAGAAAAGTTGTGTGTTTGTAATAAACAAATTCGTCATTATGTTATTTTAACATTAAACTATTGCTTCTGGCGAAAATCCATAATCCATAATAACGCTTCCTCCAGTGAAAAGGTCAATTTCCTGTTGTCTCTCACATCAAAATCCACACACATATTTGTTTAGAGTCGTTTTAGACGGTTTTGTCTTGTAATCAGTGCTTGTTCTGTGCAGATTTCTCTCCTGATTTAGACAAGATTCTCTTGATTAATTTCTCTGGAAAAAGCAATATTATGGATCGAGAACTTAAAAATGTCTAGATGGATTTGTTTCTTACAAACACAGCTTTTCTCTTCACAAGACATTAACTGATGGACTGGAGTGGTGTGGATTACTTGTGGATTATTGTGATGTTTTTAGCAGCTGTTTGGACTCTCATTCTGACGGCACCCATTCACTGCAGAGCATCCATTGCTGAGCAAGTGATGCAATGTTAATTTTCTCTAAATCTGTTATGATTAAGAAACTAACTCATCTACATCTTGGATTGCCTGAGGGTGAGTACATTTTCAGCAAATCTTCATTTATGGGTGAACTATTCCTTTAATGGAATCATGATGGGATGCAATAGATCCAGTTTTTTCTCTCCTCAGTTCAGGAGTTTGAGCCTTTTTGGGCAGAGGACAGCAACCGTAATTAATCTTGCCTTGGGAATTAGCCGGATGTCAGCACAAGTCAGGCAGCAGACGCATATTTAAAAAGGGCACATTTAATGGCTTCTTGTTTGAGACTGCTGGCAGACCCTCACCACACACTGATCTCTGTCATCCTGAGATGCCTGACGGCCGGCCATTCAGCAGCTAAATGCTTCATTTATTAGAGTTCAGGAAGCGACTCAGTAGACATTTCGGTTATAATATGAATTGCATACAGAATACAAAAACATATACCATATCATCGCTTTACTATTAACTTTTCTGATTTGGAATCAGTACAAAATTGCTTCACTTTTGAACCTAGCAGGGATAAAATGTATAACATTGTAATTAATATCTTTCTTGAATCATTATGTAATCAGACTGCCAAATATAATAACATTAGATATCACAATGTAGTATGTTTTACTGAAAATTAGAGCCAAATTTGATTTATACACTGTAAAAAATTATTTTTCAAAATTGTAAAGAAAACGCTTTCTGAATGAAAATTGCTTATACACTAATTTAATTAAAATATTTTTTCCCAGTGTATATTAGGTAACCATGTAGATTTTTATTTTATTTTATTTATTTACTTTTTTTTGATAATGTACTAAATAATACACTTTATCTCTTCCTACTTGGAATTTGATCATGATATAATATATATTTTTTTGATTATGTGATCAGACGCCGTTATGACATTTGTATACAAAACTGTATTCAAAATGCAAAATTACTATATTGATTTTCCACATGATAAATGGCACTTGCTTAATTAAACGTAACGTAGTTTGGTCATGTGACAATATTGTAGCATTCTACAGTTTGAAAAATTTCTTACATATTTACAGTGTTTTACTGTTCATTTATCCCTGTGCGGTTCAAATGTGAAGCTGTTTTTGCACTAATTCCAGATTGTTTTTAGTTTATGAATAATCGTGTCTGTTAGTTTGCATCTATCAAATAACAGATAAATAAAAAAAAACAGTGAAACATTGTAAATAATATAGTTTGAAGCCTTGCATCCATTGCTGAGACAGTGATGCAATGTTAATTTTCTCTAAATCTGTTATGATTAAGAAACTAACTCATCTACATCTTGGATTGCCTGAGGGTGAGTACATTTTCAGCAAATCTTCATTTATGGGTGAACTATTCCTTTAATGGAATCATGATGGGATGCAATAGATCCAGTTTTTTCTCTCCTCAGTTCAGGAGTTTGAGCCTTTTTGGGCAGAGGACAGCAACCGTAATTAATCTTGCCTTGGGAATTAGCCGGATGTCGACACAAGTCAGGCAGCAGACGCATATTTAAAAAGGGCACATTTAATGGCTTCTTGTTTGAGACTGCTGGCAGACCCTCACCACACACTGATCTCTGTCGTCCCAAGACGCCTGACGGCCGGCCGTTCTGCAGCTAATTGCTTTATTTATTATAGTTCAGAAAAGCAGCTCAGTAGACATTTCGGTTATAATATGAATTGCATACAGAAAACAAAAACATATACCATATCATCGCTTTACTATTAACTTTTCTGATTTGGAATCAGTACAAAATTGCTTCACTTTTGAACCTAGCAGGGATAAAATGTATAATATTGTAATTAATATTATGTAATCAGACTGCCAAATATAATAACATTAGATATCACAATGTAGTATGTTTTACTGAAAATTAGAGCCAAATTTGATTTATACACTGTAAAAAATTATTTTTCAAAATTGTAAAGAAAACGCTTTCTGAATGAAAATTGCTTATACACTAATTTAATTAAAATATTTTTTCCCAGTGTATATTAGGTAACCATGTAGATTTTTCTTTTCTTTTATTTATTTACTTTTTTTTGATAATGTACTAAATAATACACTTTATCTCTTCCTACTTGGAATTTGATCATGATATAATATATATTTTTTTGATTATGTGATCAGACGCCGTTATGACATTTGTATACAAAACTGTATTCAAAATGCAAAATTACTATATTGATTTTCCACATGATAAATGGCACTTGCTTAATTAAACGTAACGTAGTTTGGTCATGTGACAATATTGTAGCATTCTACAGTTTGAAAAATTTCTTACATATTTACAGTGTTTTACTGTTCATTTATCCCTGTGCGGTTCAAATGTGAAGCTGTTTTTGCACTAATTCCAGATTGTTTTTAGTTTATGAATAATCGTGTCTGTTAGTTTGCATCTATCAAATAACAGATAAATAAAAAAAAACAGTGAAACATTGTAAATAATATAGTTTGAAGCCTTGCATGACAATTCTGTCATCATTTATTCACCCTTATGTCGTTATGAACTTGTATGACTTCAAAAAGAGCAAATTCTTGATGCTTTTTCCGTTATATAAAAGTGTATGGAACAATTATAGTGCAAAAGTCATAGCCTGCTGCTTCTTACTGGTATGCTGCTTTTAGATTCGCAGTAGGTGTTGTGACTGGCAATTACATGCTGTTTATGTCCAGTGTTTGTCTTTCTCTTTCTGCAGAACGACACGTGGAGTGAGCTGTACTCGTTTGGCCATTAAAACTCATTAAAGTCGCAATTGTTCCATCTGTCTGCGCAGCTAATGTTTGTGCAGCTGCTACGGTTTGTTTGTCGCTGTAGCGTTGACTCAGCAACTCTTCAGATGCCATTGCGTTGATTGGATAATGACTGCTAATGCGACAGATAATGCTCTTCTGACCGTGTGTTTGTTTTCACTGCAGGCTCTATTAGGCGATGAGACCGCAGCTACAGCGTCAGCTAATGTACTATCTACCGTACTGCTGACTTGGTTGTGGCTGTCATATTTCTGTGCGTTGTGTTAGTAACAGTAGATTAGACTTTTCAGCATTTCTGGATGGGCGGATCGATCCTAAAGTATCGATACTTTCGATACTGGTGTTGTATCGAATGGACTGGAGAACAAGACTGGAGTAATGATGCTGAAAATTCAGCTTTGATCACAGATGCATTTTAAATTACATTTTAAAATATATTAAAATAGAAAATAGTTATTTTAATGGTTATATTTCACAATATTGCTGTTTTACTATATTTTTGTTCAAATAAGTGCAGCCTTGGTGAGCATGAGGCTTATTTAAAAAATATTACAAAGTCTTACTGACCCCGAATTTTTATGTACATGTAATATTTATTTGAAATAGGCTAGTTTGTGCAAGTAAATTTATTTAAACTGGTTGTTAAAAGTTCAAATGGATTGTGTTATGTTCTGTAATTGCTGTTGATAAATCTGTCAGAAAAAAAAAATGCTAAAGTTTCACCTTTAGGAGTACAACAGCCTGACAGCCTTTTACAAAAATTAACCATGGGTTTATTACAGTAACCACAGTTTACCACAGTATTTGTAGTAAAACGGCAGTAACCAGAAATTTACAATGGTAATAATAATAATACATTTTAGTACTTATGTAACACCCATGTTTATTTTTCATGAGGTACCCTCAAAGGTGCACATTTGTAACTTATCTACCCTTAAAGCATGCATACTTGTATGGTACTAATATGCTCCCTTTTAGGGGTATAGGTGCACCTTTGAGGTTACTGCCCCAGAAAAGGGCTAAAATACAATTTTAGTATATTTTATTTCTGACAGCGTAAACAAAAAAAGGCCTATGAAATGTTAAAAAACATGGCCTTAAAAATCTAATATTAAGTGAGTATAATTACTGATTATATTCTTTTAATAATTTAAAAGATCAGTTTAGTTTAGTTTAGAGGTATCGGTATCGATATCGACGATACTGGGCTTGAAAATATCGGTATCGGATCGAAAATAAATAGAGCTATCGCCCATCCCTAATTTCTGCTCAACCAATCATTTATCAACTCTGTTACCATGCAGAAAGATTGGTGGAGGCAACGGAGCGCTCTGATTGGCCGCTTTGAACGAGAGGGCTTGCCTCCCGAGTAGTTTAGCCAGTAAAGTGAAGGACGGATACTTGTTGCGTAGACGATTTATGCGTGTGTATGTGCACGCAATATTACAGTCTCTCGGGACGAGCTAAAATTGATGAGGCAGCAGATTAGTGTCCTGCCAGTGTCCTCATGAAGTTAATGTAGGTGTGTGTGTGTGTGTGTGTGTGTGTGGCGCCTGAAAATATCGGTATCGGATCGAAAATAAATAGAGGTATCGCCCATCCCTAATTTCTGCTCAACCAATCATTTATCAACTCTGTTACCATGCAGAAAGATTGGTGGAGGCAACGGAGCACTCTGATTGGCCGCTTTGAACGAGAGGGCTTGCCTCCCGAGTAGTTTAGCCAGTAAAGTGAAGGACGGATACTTGTTGCGTAGACGATTTATGCGCGTGTATGTGCACGCAATATTACAGTCTCTCGGGACGAGCTAAAATTGATGAGGCAGCAGATTAGTGTCCTGCCAGTGTCCTCATGAAGTTAATGTAGGTGTGTGTGTGTGTGTGTGTGTGTGTGGCGCACTGTGATTCTGTCCTTGAAAGTACCATAATGAACTGATGGGAGGGAGGGAAATGGAAAGAAAGGCAGACAGAGAGAACCGGGGGTTGGGAATAGACCTGTAGGGGTCAGGGACGAGTGACCTGCTTCTCTGCGCTGTGAGCTGCACTACATTTGGAAAATTCTCCTCTTGATGTGCCGCTTCAGTTTTAAAGTGACAGTTCACACTGCAAAAATGATTTTCTTCTTTTGTATTTTTGTCTTGTTTTCCAGTACAAATCGTAATGTTCTTAAATGAAGATGCTTTTACTTGGATACTTAAAAACGTCTTTTGAGATTATGCTTAAAACAAGAAAAAAATATCTGTCAATGAGGTAAGAAAAATCCTTAAGAAAATATTCTTAATATCTCAAAATTGATTTGGCTTCTCAAGTAAATGTATCTTGATTTAAGATTTTTTTTAGATATTTGTAATGGGAAACAACACAATTTTTGCAGTGCACCTAAAATTGTTGCTTTTTTAGTATAATGTTTTTTGATTTTTGATGTACTTTTATGTCTCACCTTGAGCAAAGGAAATGTGCCATATAAACAGAACTCTATTATTATTATTACTATTATTTTATAAATATACAGTACTGTTCAAAAGTTTGGGGTTGGTAACATTTTTAAAATAAGTCTTTTCTGCTTAGTTAGTTAATGTTAATTTCAACATTTATTAATGCATTATTAAAATCAAAAGTAATGCTTGCTAACATTAGTTAATACATTGTGAATTAAAGTGAACTAACAGTGACTGACTGTATTTTCATGAATTAACATTAACAAAGAATAATACATACTGTAATAAATGTACTGTTCATGGTTCGTTTATGTTAATACGTTAACTAACATTAACTAATGGAACTTATTTGTAAAGTGTTACCCGCTTATGTATCACAAAGATAAAATCGCAGACGACATGAGTCATCACACTTTGCTTTCAAGTAGAAAAATGTATGCAGATATTCAAACAGGTACTGTTATATGAAGTATATGAATGACTGTCATCCCTCAGGACACCTCGAGCTCAGACTTTCATTCTCTTAGAGAGACCGCCATTGATTGTCTGTTATATCTTTCTGTCTGTCTTTTGCCCCAGGTGGTGTTTTGGACACAGACAGTCCTGTGAAATTTCATGCCTTTTTTCTTAGAGGAAGGATGACGCATACATTTATATCATTCTGTGTCTCTCCACGTATGTTATATTGAACGATGCTGTTTGATTTGCGTCATAGCTGTGAGCTTCTTCACATTCAGCTCAGCTGCTGTTTCTGCTCTGTGTGTGTGTGTGTGTGCGCGTTTTTGTGACAAATGAGGACATACATTTGTATAATGACAAAGGTATGACATAGATATTACAAGGAGAAGGTGACTTTTCAGGACATTACCCCATGTCCCCACTTTTCAAAACGCTTATAAATCACACAGAATGGAGTGTATTGAAAATCTGAAATAGCAGAAAGTTTTCTGTGAGGGGTAGGTTTAGGGGTAGGGTTGGTAAAGGGCAATAGAATATACGGTCTGTACAGTATAAAAACCATTACACCTATGGGATGTCCCCACTTTTCACAAAAACAAACCTGTGTGTGTGTGTGTGTGTGCAAGCATTGCTTATTTTTATCGCTGCTATGAAAGTGTGTTGATGGGGTACTAAATCTGGAAGGCTGGGAAGTGGTCTGGATACTAAAAGAGATTGACAGAGCCGGACAGATTAGATCAGGTAGAAGAAAGATGCTGCTCTGCTGTCCCGATGCGATGGAGACACAAATGTGACAATAGCTTTCTTAAAATAAGATGCTTCAATCTGCTAGGCTGGATTTGAGTGCTGTTGCAATGGTTTTTAGATGTGCACATCCCAGGAAGTACAAGTTGTTTCGACACTGAAGGAGTCTTCAGACCTGTGGGCAAAGAATGCATTTTTTCTTAACTACTATTTTCATGTTTTCTGACTTAGAGATATTTTATATTTCACAAAATACTTACTTAATACTTAGCTTTTTATCTTATCTAAACATTTTTCATCATGATATGCTTTCTACTTTAAAATTAGTTCATAGATGGACAACATTTTCAAGTGTAAAGCTTTAAATTTGTTGTTTTAGACGAGGATGGTACACAAACATACATCACAGCCACAATTAACATCACAGCCAATCACTTTTATTTATAATATTTGAGAATTTCTTTATTTATATATATATAGACAGTATCTTGCAGAAGTGAGTACACCCCTCACATTTTTGTAAATATTTTATTATATCTTTTCATGTGACAACTCCCAATTTGGACATTTTCACTTTGGGGTGTACTCACTTTTGTGGCCAGCGGTTTAGACTTTAATGGCTGTGTGTTGAGTTATTTTGAGGGGACAGCAAATTTACACTCTTATACAAGCTGTACACTCACTACTTTACATTGTAGCAAAGTGTCATTTCTTCAGTGTTGTCACATGAAAAGATATAATAAAATATTTACAAAAATGTGAGGGGTGTACTCACTTCTGTGAGATACTGTATATATTTAGGAATTACATTTTATAATGTAACTTCAGAACTTTTAAGAAGATTTTCGTGAATCTGGCTCATGTAGTTTGTTTGTTTAGTTCCAAATCTAAGACTAAACTGTTACAATGCTGCATTTTCTCATAGGTTCTATACAAAACTTGTTACTAAGTCACAGGTGAGCAAACTGTCCCCTCATTGGTCGGAGAGATTGTGCACCATTTGTGTTCTAGGTTTTGCTCAAAGCCTCATTTTCAGATTTCAAGATGTACAGGTGTTGTTTTGTTAAATAATTTCTATTTAGCAGTTTGAGCCAGTCTCAATTCTGCGTCTGCAAAACAATATTACAATGCACCTGTTTTGCAGAAGTGTCAGAGGAATAGACATTTTATTTGTGCTGTGCAACAGATTTCTTTGTTTGTGTTTTTAGGGACACTTTGTTGGCAAATAAAACATTTAAACAGTGTTAAATTACTGTTTTGAAAGGAATTAATGTTTTATTTAGCAATTGATCAAAAGTGACACAAAAGACATTAACAATTTTACAAAAGTAAAATGCAGTTCTTTTGAAATTTCTATTCATCGAAGAATCCTGAAAAATCAAATCTATGATGCTTTTCACAAAAACATGAAGCAGCACAACTGTTTTCAACATTGATAATAATCAGAAATGTTTATTGAGCAGCAAATCAGCATATTAGAATGATTTCTGAAGATCATGTGACACTGAAGACTGGATTAATGATGCTGAAAATTTAGCATCACAGGAATAAAATTAAATTTTACAATATCAGAATCAGAATCAGAAGAGCTTTATTACCAAGTATGTTTACACACACAAGGAATTTGACTTGACGACAGTCTTTTAAAATACAATATCTTTTAAATATACAACAAGTCAAGTCAAGTCAACTTTATTTATATAGCGCTTTTAACAATACAGATTGTGACAAAGCAACTGAACAGCGATGATACAATAATACACTTCAACAATAGAAAGCACTATATTAAATTGTAATACTATTTCACAATATTTCTATTTTTACTGTATTTTTGATCAATTAAATGCAGCATTGGTGAGCAGAAGAGACTTCTTTCAAAAACAGTCAAGACATATTGTAATTTCAAAGTCTTATTTTCCTGTGTTTTCAGTCACTGGCATCTGCCGGTCTGTCTGAGATGGTTGATCTCTTTGTACGCCAATCAAACGGTTTGTTCCTATCCAAGCGAATGGTTCTTAGCCAGAATATGCGGCAGTGTGCGTTAGACATTTAAGAGTCTGGTTATGTGACTCTAGGTTGTAGATTCCCGTCGCTCCAGTGCTCACAGGGACTCTGAAATATTTTTCAGGAAATAACAAGAGAAGAATTTCAATTAGACCTAATGCCTCTTCTGCTATTGTCATGCATTGTGTTCTTTGATTGGGTGTCGATCTGAAACTCTCTCTCTCTCTCTCTCTTCTGCAGTCATCAGCTTTCAGTGCCGCAGACTGACACCAAACCGTATCTCTCGGGTTTCACTGAGCTTTCCTTACCGCCCGCTACTGCTCTGAACAGCCTGAGGAAACAGGCATGACAAATATCCCTAGATCTCTGTCTTCTCTCTCTCTGCTTCTCTTTGTTGCACTAACCTTCTGGAATCATTCATCTTCTCCGTGCAGAAGTGCCTAATATATCCGTAATCACCTGTGATTCTTTCACTTCATCCATTAGCAATCTCAAAATACGCTAGAGTCTCCGTCTGTCCCAAAGACTGTCATTGGCACAGATGGGTAGATAAAAATGTAGACTATTTAATTAATGCAGAACTTCATCAATGTTGTTTTCCGTGACTGATGTGTTCTCCCCAAGGCCTTCAGGATGAAACTGTTCCCGGACAAAGACATCAGGTTCTCGAGGGATTTATATAAAATTCTATAATAACCAAAATAACCAATTCTAACTATTGACTATTGCATCACAATATGTCCAAAATTAAGTTTGAGTTTCTCTGAAAGATGGTTTTGGGTCCTTAAAACTTAATGATTCCTTTTTGCTGAATAACAGTGACACAGACTATTTTCTGGCTGACTTGAGACTCTGTTGAGATGCTCGAGAGCAGGCTAGCTTTGGCTCGGCTCACTGTACCTGCAGGTAGAAATGTGCTTCGTACCGTAATGAGGTGATTTATTCTAGAATCAGTGCAGTGAATAATACATCTCAGGACTTCACACACACACACACACACACACACACACACACACACACACACATATAGCTTGGCTCTCTGGTTTTCATTTATCTGAGATGCAGGGAATGAGGGACCAGGGTTTTGTTCGCTTTTACCTTGATTGGAAAATCTTTGGGTAGGAATCAATATGGTGCCCTAGGATTATAATACTGCCATTTAGTCAATTTAGACTGTTTTAAAACACTGAGGTTGAGAATGTGAGTGTTTGGGTGCATGAAAACACTGTTTTTAAAAGAATTTATTGCATTTTATTTGATCAGAAATACAGTAAAAACTGTAAAATTGTGAAACATTATTACAATTTAATATAACTGTTTTCAATGTTCTAATATATTTTGAAATGTAATTTATTCCTGTGGCGTAAAACTGAATTTTCAGCATTATTCCTCCAGTCTTCAGTGTCACATGATCTTCAGAAATCCTTCTAATATGCAGATTTGCTGCTCAAGAAACATGTCTGATTATTACCAATGTTGAAAACAGTTGTGCCGCTTCATATTTTTGGGGAAACCATGATACATTTTGTTTTTCAGGATTCTTTGATGAATATAAAGTTCAAAAGAACAGTGTTTATCTGAAATAGAAACCTTTTTTAACATTAAAGGGGTCATATGATGCGATTTCAAGTTTTCTTTTCTCTTTGGAGTGTTACAAGCTGATTGTGCATAGATAAGATCCCTGGAGTTGCAAAGACTAAAGTCTCAAAACCAAAGAGATATTCTTTATCAAAGTTAAGACTCTGCCACGCCCCCCTAAAACGGCTCGTTCTAACACGCCCCCACATATCTACTGGAAATATTTGCATAATGCGGCCCATATGTGCACGCAAAGAAAGAAGGTGTGGTTTCAGTAACCGCAGTTAGTGTTGAAGCAGCATCAGTCGGTTCCCTTCAGAGATACATTCATATAAAACACCCGCGCCGTGTTATCATTTTGAAACGTGCAGTACTCATGTTTATTCAACGACGTCAAACGGCACAAATAAATCAATGTATGGGAAACTGGTAATATCGAAATATCGGAAATGTGTTTAAAAATCATATCACCGTTATTGAAAAAAATTATATCGCGATACATATTGATATTGAATTATTGTCCAGCCCTATGACAGACATGTGCAAAACATTACAAAACATCATATAAGGGGCACATATGAGTACATTCATTGCTTACGCAACTAGTGAGTGTGCTGTGTTTAGACCTGAATAGACTGAATCTGACAGTAAATTGAGATTGAGTGCAAAAGAAAAAGAAACATTAGTACTTTACTGAACATTTTAATGTTATTTTAATGCTTGCCTTACAAAGCACCCCTATTAACTTACAACAAACACTTTTGATTACCATATTCAGATACCATTTAAAAAGCACAAGAATACCACAGTATTACCATCACACAAAAAATATGTTATGATGACTTTTCCGGGCTTTATTTTTATGGTAATCCTATAGTCCTTTTGGAGCTTCTTGTGTTCTAGATGCTTTCCATGTTCTCTTGAGTAACCTGAGTGGTGCGTGTGATCTGTGTGCTATTTCTGGCAGCGAGAGGATGGTCCCTGTCCTGTCACTGGAGTGAACCGCAGAGGAACAGAAGCAGGCGGACAGCAGCAGTCAGAAACACTCAGTGCACTGCTGTAGATTTAGAGCATGTCTAACAGAAAGCCTGTTTATAAATACACACACACACACACACACACACTGCACAGAGACACACATAACCACCTCTTAGGATGGGAGAGACTTTTGATGTGTGGAGGTTTTGAATTTTGAGGCGAGATGCATTTCAGGTCACAGAAGAGAAGAGAATAATTGTGAATAATTCAGAGGCAGTTTAATCGGGTGATTCCTGATGAGTGTGGAACGTCAACGGACAACTAACCATCTAACCATCTAAACTAGGACACACGTTAATGGTCCATTGATGCTTCATCACAGTGTGTGTGTGTGTGTGTGTGTGTGTGTGTTTTTAACTACAACTGAAAAAAAAATGGTGAAGGATTTACTCTAAAACAATTTTCTGTCAGACATGCTAGTAAATTTCACAAATAATTTCAAAGAAATGACAAGTAACAGATTAAATTAATTGCAAATTGCAGATTTCTTATAATACGTAATCCAAAAACACTGAACGCAGCATCATCAAATTAATTAATATTAGGCTTTTTTTTGCAAATCAGTAGTTTTGTGTAACCTTGCTTTATTTACAACTTTGAAAAATCATTTTTTACAGTGTACAACTAAGAGAGGCATAAAAATGTCAGGCCTAAGAAGAGATCTGACGGATTAGAATGATGATATTCACACTTCTCAAGAATGATGTTATATGGAACTAATGGAATATGGATTTCTGCCCTCAGATTTCAGACTAACCATATTCATATTTTCTTACCTTTTCTCTCTACACGTTTACTTCGCTATCTAAACGAGGCAGTATCATAGACTTTTATTGCTTTACATTTATATTAAAAGCTAATTAGGTGACTACATTTAGATTATATTTATGCATTTGGAAGATGCTTTTATCTAAAGTGAGTTACATTGCAATAAAGTTCTATATTTGATCAGTTTATGCATTTCCTGGAAATCAAAACCCGTTGGTTTTGCAACGTTATGATCTACAGACTAAACCAAAAACTAACTTTAGCCCTAAAAGAAAACTCTGTGCTTTGCTTGCAATATTTATGAATCATTTGCTCTTTGGAGGACGTCTGCAGGTTTTGTCTGAATTAACTTTGTCCCCCAGTACAGCTAAGAAAACACACAGTACAGTTCAAAAGTTTGGAGTCAGCATGGTTTTTCTGAAAGACACTAAGAATTTATATTCATCAAAGAATCCTGAAAAAAAATGCAGTTTCCACAAAAATATAATATTATAGTATTTTATATCATATTTAATTTAATAATATGAAGCAGCAAATCTGTTTTCAACACTGATATAATAATCAGAAATGTTTCTTGAGCAGAAAATCAGCATATTAGAATGATTTCTGAAGATCATGTGACACTGAAGACTGGAGTAATGATGCTGAAAATACAGCTTTGATCACAGCGATACATTCCATATATTTTACAATATATTACAATAGAAAACAGTTATTTTAAGTTGTAATAATATTTCACAATATTAAGTTTTTTTACTGCATTTTTGATCAAATAAATGCAACCTTGATGAGCAGAAAAGACTTCTGAGCTACCAAGTCCACAATGCATGTAAGTGTGCTGTTTTGACTTTAACCACCTAGCAACACCTTGGCAACCATC